TACTCAGTTAGCAAAGGAAGAAGGTGGGAATTGGATCAAATTTCTGATTTCCCCATCACTTAATAGATTTTCTACCTCTCTGGTAGACAGAGTCCTCCGCTTTGGGAGTTTATTCACCCTACAGCAAGTGCTTTCTAAACAGGTGTAGACAGTAGATTATTTCTTGGTTGATAGTTTTCTACAGCAAATAGTTTCTTGGCCAAATATGGATGGTGGCGGGCAGTCAGAGCATGGCAGGGTGTGATTTCAGTTTCTCTTTTGATTTATTTTGAAATTCAAAGAGAAGAGTATACAATTTTACCAATAAGATCCTCCCTGAGATCTAAGGCTGTTTGTCAGCACAAAACGGTGCATGCTCAGAGTTCCGCTGGGAGCTTGCCCTGGAAGCGTTTACACTGCTGTACTCTGGTTTTGGATCAAACTCTCTTTGTAAAATGGAAGACAAAGAACATACCACAGGACTACACCCTTGCCTGGCTCTGTGGTAGGGACACCCCGCAGCTCTCATATCTTGGTTTGTCAGAGGCAGGCGAGGGCACTGAAGTGACATGAGATCAGTACACAGGACTATAGTTGTCAGCCTCAGCAGACTTTGTAAGCCAAGGCAATCAAGTTATCACTATGTTGCACCTGGGTAGACCACGTTCTACAGCATTCATTTTAAGTCACCTTCTTTGAAGATGTAAGTGGACAGTTCACAATGCAGGGAACAGAGATAACTAATGGGTATGGAGGAGGTCCACAGGAGGAGAAAGTGAGGAAATAGAGGGTTTTTTTAACTTCAAGATAAAATAATGAATCAGGCCAGTGGTTACATATCAGCCATACCTCAGTACAGCCTGCCACTGGCAGCGTGAGCAGCCATTTTGCTGTTCCTTGAGTGGAGTGGAAAGAGGCCCATACTACTGAATGCTTGAGCTGATGTGCACAGGTTCAACAAAAGAGCCTGAAAGCAGGCTGAGCCCAGCAGGTCTCAGGGGTGGTGCTTTGGTGGCTGCATTGAGAACACTATTGCTTTGTGTTTTCTGTTCACTGTCTCTCCCAGGCCTGTGGGTACAGAAAGTTTGTATAATTTGCATAAAACCTCCATGTCCTAATTTGAATATATACATTACCTCATTTACAAAAGTTATCCTCACAAATTCTTCACTTCCTCATCTCCCACCCCTTGCCAAATCCATCCTCCCCCTCAAGTTTCTGCTCCTTCCCTTCTCCCTGGATTTCCCAACTCACCACCCCACACTGGCTCCTGTCAAGTTTCCTCCACATCCCCCTTTTAAATTCCTTGCCCACATCATCTAGAGCCCCCACTTCAAGATTCCCCTTCAACACACTCTCTCCCTCCCCCCCCCACCCCCCAGCATCCCCACTCTGCCTCTTCCCACCCCTGAGTGTCTCTCCCACCTACAGCACAGTCCCAAACTACACAGTCAAAGAGCAATGCACTACACATCACACTGCCTGGCATTGCACTCACTGTATCTCTGTGGCCATGAACAGCTGGGAGCTACACTCAAGGGGAATCTTTAAGGCTAGTCCTGTAGGACTGCCTAGAGCAAGCTATAGCCATAGAAATGCAGCCGAGAGCTCTCCAAATGTAAACAATATTTGGGAGCCAGGTGGAAACCACTCAGTCAGATCCCTCCCAGCCAAAGGGAGGCTTTATATTTCTGAGCACTTTTCTTGGGAATAGAGTTTAGCAGACATTTAATACTCAGTTCAGTGCAGACTGTTGCCGAGGGGAGCCAGACAAATAACATACATCTATATTAGACAGTGGTGCACTTCTTTTCTAGCACTGCTGCTAATAACAGTGAAAGATACAGCACTGACAGAACTCGGGACATTTTGTGCCTGTCTCCTGTCAAGACTAGCAATGACACAGTTACTAAAAATAGTACCACTGCTGACCAATGGAAACAAAATTTTCCAGCCAAACAAGGCCTAGTCTTGTTCCTTTATTATAAAATAAATATAAAAGTCAGACTGTAAGCACGTTTGCTTTTGTGTATGGAAAAACAGTAGTGAATGTTTCACACAGTTCTCCGTATAGCTGCATGATAATAAAAACATAATGAAGCAATCTGTTTATCTTTGGACTTTGTGTGCGTGTCCTATCAGGTATAATTCGTAACAACTTGTAGTTTGTCTACTCAAGAAGTAGATTAATACCTTGCTAAGCAGATAGGCAATGATATTATTGCTTATATGTATTTTCAAACACAAGTACTTATCAAAATGACCTTTACTACTGAAGGACCTTGAAATTAAAGTGAAGTTATCATCAATGCTTGTAAGCGAAGGTACAAATTGTTGGATTCAGTTTCTATAGTACCCTGACTACATTTTCCCATCTATTATTACTTTACCAGGTATGGACTGTTATCTTACTGAAATTATATTGACTGATATCTCGCTGTGCCAGGAGATGTAAGCTGTATTTTTTTAATCTTTGTTAACGATTGCCTTGTGAACTTGATCTCCTTTTAAAAAAAAGTCAGATTTATCATCTATGAATAATTCCTATATCCAGTGTAAATACTTATAAACAATTATTGACATCTACTGATAAAATCCTTAGCTATAATATCAATAGCTAAATTATAATAATTTACTTGTTTACCAATGTTTTGACCAAAATAATTGTTTCTATAAGGAAAACTTTGTAAAAAATGATGAGACTTGTCTTTTCCTACATTCATCTTCATTCATTCTAAAGATAGATGTTATCAGCAATATTAAATTCATCATTTAAGTAAATACTACACAAAACTGTTAATTAAGGATATGTCGACACAGCAAATAAAAGGTTTATTCTTAACTCTGATTAGCTAAGCAGCCTTAGCTAACCTGGGTTAAAAACAGTGAAGATACAGCACCTCCGCTTTTAACTCAGGTTAGCGGCTCAAGCTAAGTCTTACAGGGAGTTGGGGTTGAACTCACACTGCTAACCTGAGTTAAAGGCCAGGTAGCGGTGTTTTCACTGCTATTGTAACTCAAGTTATTTGCAGCATAGACATACTGAGAATTAAGGATGCTCAAGTGGTTTCCTATCAAGGGAATTACCAATTGAGCCAACATTAATATCCACACCAACCTCAACTCTTTCAGTCATCAAAACACCCTAACATTCAATGACTGCTGATTCCACAACAGCCTCCTCCTCCTCCATTCCAGTGTGTAACCAAGTACGATCCACACTTTCACTTACTCACCATCACACTCAGCCACGTAATCGTAATGACAACGACAACACAATGGTGGAGGTATAAAGGGATCTACAGTAGGAGAGATCAATGGGATTCCACTATATTTCCTATTATCTTCTGGTTTACGTTGTTTGGTGAATTTTAAAAGCCTAAAGTGTTTTTTTTCCTTCTGTGCATTTTTAGTTTTTCACTCAGACTAATCTGCAGCTGTTTTCAGGAACCCTGCTGCCTAACCCAGTGTGGCCAAGTGGCTAGAACAGTGGACTAGGACTCAGGAGGTTTGGGTTCTCCTCTGTTCTTGGTCATGGGTCTGTTGTATGACTTTGGGCTCTGTGCCTCAGTTTCCCCATCTGTATAATGAAAATAATGATATTTATCTACTTTGCAAAGTTGCTATCTACTGATGAAACATACTGTAGAAGAGCTTTATTATATTATTATTAATGAATCCCACCTGTTGTAATCCTTTTCTCCTGTAGCAACTGACTTCCTGGCCTCATGTCAGTTGCTTTTCTCCTCTAAGCTCAGCAGCAGCTCAATAAGCAGAAGAAAAACTAAGCACTAGTTTAAACATCAGAAACAACAGGTCTGGTTCTGCTCTCACTTACACTTGTGAGAACTAGGAGTTGCAATGGCTGGACGTTCTGAATCAACCCAACTTTTTTGCAGCTCTGTCCATGCTATGGACAACTTTGTGTCCAACCATTCTTGTCCAACACTGAAAAGATAGTTAATGCTTTACCCAAGGAGGTTTAGAATGATAAAATCGCAGCCCAGGTCTCTAATTAAGATACCATCCAACTGTACCATTAGGGAGCTGTCAGGACATATCAGCAGGTATGTCATACAGCCCTTCCACATGCTATCTGAGTTCAAGACTAACCCAGATGCTCAGTGCAGGGGACATCTGACCAGCATGATCATGAGACACTCTTTGCACAGGTTTCTCCCAGTGACCTTGGCAGCAATCAAGTGTAGGAAGGGGCAAGAGATGCAGGAGTCTCAGCTGGGGAGGGAATAGAAGACTGTAGTTGAAGAAACTTGTATTACTAGACCCTAGACAATTTTTAAATTTCCTCTAAAAATATGCCGAGGGCTGAATGGAAGACGGGGAGGCCAGTCTGCCCCAGAGAGCAACAATGTCCTATTCTCCAAACTGCCCCTTGTTACAAGAGCACTCATTTAGCACTATGCAGTGTTGTAGCCACAAGGTGGGTGAGGTAATATCTTTTATTCTTTATCTGTGAAGAGCAGCTCTGTGAAACTGCAACACTTGTCTCTCTCACCAATAGCAGCTGGTCCAATAAAAGATATTCCCTCCCGCATCTAGTCTCTCATTTGGCACTCACATTTATGCTCACCCCACACAGGCCTGTTTTATTCACCTGTCTGTGATGGTTTATCACTCACTTGTAGAGATGGGTGAATAATTCCCAACAAATGATGTATCGAATGCATTGCACCTCTTTCGGTCTGCAAATTGTCCATGAGCAAATAGATTTGCTGTTTGAACTTTTTCCACCAAATACATAATTTTCATTTATGGCAAAGGGGCCTACAGCTTTTGACTTGTTTAAAAAAACAAAATAACCCCACAACTGTCAGCCAGGGACCCAGTCGGATTCTGTGCTGTGCCTCTCAGGAGGTGCAGAGACGCAAAGGAGCAGGCGGAGGGAAGGTGGCTGCAAAATGGTGTTGCTACTTCCTAATACTAGGCTGCTCTCTGGGCTGCATGGCCTTTGCACAAATTAAAGCAGCCCTAGATATTACTCTCATTTAGGGCAGCCTTACCTGGTTCCCTGTGAGCTGTTCTGTAGCCCCTCTTGCTTTCAACGTATTCCAATCTCACTCCCAGCCTGCGCCTAAGGGCAGCATAGGGCTGTCTATGTTGCCCCTGCTCCACTGGAGGTGTTCCCCAGAGGATTGCTGCAGCCCCTTCACGCCACTGAAGCAGAGTAAAGTGGATATAGCAGGGCCTCGAATCCATCTCAAGGCCTTTTCTTCGAGGTTCTTTATTGAGAACGAGAGGGTGGTGTCTAAAACAAGAATGAAAAACACTTGAAAGCCATAAAATAGACAGAAAACTGCCCAGCATGGGGTTCAACCCAGCCCTGCAACCCATGTGCGTGGAGCCTGTCTTCCCAAAGTCATTCTCCCCACCTGAGTGTACGTGGAAGGGTTGGGGGAAACTAAGCTAGAGTTAACCCCTCAGAGACCAGAGCACCACTATTCCCACTCAAACTTAGGTTACTTTGAGCCTTTTCAGGGAGCAGCTTGACCATTATTTATAGGTTGAGTCAAAAGCAGATAATATAATAGAGTTTGCTAACAAAGAAATGTGGGAAAGGCACATTTAGAAATAAGCCATCGTATCAGAAAAGCCTTGTTACTGTGTCACAAAAGTAAAGCAACTTCTCTGGCTATAGATTATGAAAGAACAAATTCTGCACATGCTAGAGTAATTCTCCCTGAACGTTTTATAAGCAAGCAGTTAAGTAGAACTTATCCTAAGTCCTGCTTAGGTATGTGAAGCTCTCATTGTCTTTAGCCTAGGTACAAGGTGAATACCATATTTTACATGCGTGAACAACAAATAGGAATCGCATTTACCAGGAACTACTTCAACTTGGTGTACATCACACCCTTGACAGTTGATATGTAGGTTGGTTTTAGAAGGTACTTGACAAATATGGCCCAAGGACCGATCCTAATAAAAAGCCTAATACTAAATTTGAGTCATCACCTTAGCTTGAGGTTTAACCCTACCCTGTTCCCAGGTTGGCCTGAACCATCCTCCCAGCATGAGCTATGGCCACAGCAGGAGGCCAAATACATCACCAAAGCAGAAAGCATTCAAATATTCACTGATTCCATGAGTCTGTGCGTGTGTCACAAATACTGACCCTTTGGTTATAGATTCAATTTATTTTAATGGGACTGTTTTTGTTCTGTGTTTGTACAGCCCCTAGCACCTTGTGGTCCTGGTCCATGACTGGGACTCACAGATGCTACAATAACACAAATAATTAAAACACAAAGCTATTCTTGAATAGACTTAGTCCCATACTGGGTCATGGGAACAAAGAGGACACCTCTTTCAGGTTAGCACTGAATTTTATTTAATTCTTTCTGCCTCCGTGGTGATGTAGCTAAGATAACATGGACACTAATCTCTTCTCTACAGCCCCTTTTCACCTACATAGGCCTTAGTGTAGAATGCATTCCAAGCCACATCAGGCAATTGCTTACAACCCAACCATTCTCCAGTGCTGCAATAATCCATAGTTAGGGCCCTACCAAATTCATGGCAATGAAACATGCATCACGGATTGTGAAATTTGGTCTCCCCCTGTGAAATCTGGTCTTGTGTGCTTTTACCCTATGCTATACAGATTTCACAAGGCAGGATGAAACCAACATTTCTCAGACTGGGGGTTCTGACCAAAAGGGAGTTGCAGGGAGGAGGGGGTCGCAAGGTTATTTTAAGGGGGTCACAGTATTGCCACCCTTGATTCTGTGCTGCCTTCAGAGCTGGGTAGCCAGAGAGCGGTGGTTGTGGGCCGGGCGCCCAGCTCTGAAGGCAGCACCACTGCCAGCATCAGCGCAGAAGTAAGAGTAGCAGTACCGCAACCCCCCCTACGACAGCTTTGTGACCCCCAACTCCTCCTTTTGGGTCAGGAGCCCTACAGAAGGTCAGGACCCCTACAATACCGTGAAATTTCAGATTTAAAAAGCTGAAATCATGAAATTTACAATTTTTAAAATCCTATGACTGTGAAATTAACCAAAATGAACCATGAATTTGGTAGGGCCCTACCCATAGTAGAACATCATGGCTGCTCTAACCCACACTGGGGGCAAACCAGCCCATCCTGGGTTAATGGAAGCATATTTCCGCTCCTCTTGGTCCATGTAGCACAGAGATCAACTCCCCTGTAAGACTTTGGAACTGTTTTCAGCACAACTAGGAGACCAAAGTTCAAAAATATGAACCTTAAAGAACTGTAAATGCTTGGATGAGTCAAGCTTTCCTTACAGGAAAGTTTTGTAATAGAACGGAGCTCTGCAGTTGTTTGAACGTAACTCTGTGCTGTGGCTCGAGGGCAGCACATCTATTCTGAAGAGGAGTAAGGCTTACATTTTCAAACTGTGACTTCCAGTTGTGGTTGCTCAACTTGAGACCCTAGGGCCTGATTTTCATGGGGCCGAGCACCCACTGAAGTAAATAGGAGATGTGGATGCTCAGTACCTCTGAATTATCAGGCTCAATGTCAAGCTGAGGTTCCAAAAACCAACATGCATTAACCAGCCCCAAGCATGCAAAAATAAGGAGTCAAGCCACAAAGTATCAAGAGGTTGGCTTAAGTATAATGAGATTTTAAAACTAAATGTTGGGTTATTTGTGTGTGTCTTGTTTAGCCTTCAGGGATCATATGTTCAAGCTGTGCTCCAGAACCACGAGGGCTAGAAACTTTTTTTTTGGCTGGGGTGGGGCGGGGGGGGGGGGAATGAAAAGTAAATTGTGATGTTCTCAAAATGCCCCGACTCTAGGAACTGGGGATTTAAGTAAAACACCAAATATCACAAAACTTGTGATAAAATTGTGAGAGCAGGCACCTCTGGTCTGTCTATAATGATTGACAGTTTCTGGAAACCAAGGCCTGACTCAAGCAAAATCTCACATAGAAAATCAAGGGCAAAGTGGGGAACAGAACTCAAAAGTGCTGATCCCCAGTCAATACTCTAGCCACTAAACCACATTCCCTTTGCAGTCTCCCATGTATATTAGTTTTTTGTTTCTATGTGTTTATTGCATCAGCCTGTGGTCAGGCCCCAGTTCCAGCCCCCGCATCAAAGGTCAGCTGGGGCTTATTTGAAGCCAAAGAAAATCCTTCCTTCTTAGAAAACCATCATTTACTTTCCTGAAATGCCCCATCTCTGCCTCTGGGATGGCTTCTCAGATAAACCAACATACACAGAAAAATAAAAAGAAAAGGAGTACTTGTGGCACCTTAGAGACTAACCAATTTATTTGAGCATGAGCTTTCGTGAGCTACAGCTCACTTCATCGGATGCATACCGTGGAAACTGCAGCAGACTTTATATACACACACAGATCATGAAACAATACCTCCTCCCACCCCACTGTCCTGCTGGTAATAGCTTATCTAAAGTGATCATCAAGTTGAGCCATTTCCAGTGCTGATAAGCTATTACCAGCAGGACAGTGGGGTGGGAGGAGGTATTGTTTCATATTCTCTGTGTGTATATAAAGTCTGCTGCAGTTTCCACGGTATGCATCTGATGAAGTGAGCTGTAGCTCATGAAAGCTCATGCTCAAATAAATTGGTTAGTCTCTAAGGTGCCACAAGTACTCCTTTTCTTTTTGCAAATACAGACTAACACGGCTGTTACTCAGAAAAATAAAATGCCACCCTGCACCTAAGCCGGTTTTCCAGGATCTACACACTGATATTCCCCACACTCTTGAAGAAATGGGAAGCGGCTTTCTTTGCCTAGGACGTTGCCCTCCATAGATAGGCCTCATTAGGCATAAAACACAGCTACCTGGGCTCCAGAGGGATCCACTTGTCCCATCTCAGCTCCCTGGAAACTCTCCTGAGGCCTAGCTGCTCCTGGAGCCTGTCTAGGCCAGTGTTGTGTCCCTTCATTACGAAAATTGGGGCAAAGGTGTGGTGACTATGTAGAACCCCTTTGGGGCCCGGAAGAGTCATGCAGCCCCTGTCCAGGTATACAGACTCATGCAGACTCAAGCTAGCATACTAAAAATAGCAGTGTGGACATTGCAGCTCAGGCTGTAGCTTGGGACCTCAAGACTAGGGGGCTGGGTGGGCTTCAAAACACAACATAACATCCACCCCATTAATTTTAGCACACTAGTTTGAGTCTGTCTATGCAGGGAGGATGGCTCCCTCCCAGAGGTAGTGTAGATATACCCAGACATTTCAGGACAGCAATTTGCTGTCAACATTTTAACACAGTATCCCTCAAAAACTTTGTGCAGCAGTCTGTGGTACGTACCCTCTCTGCAGGTGGGGCTGGAGATGTCCCTAGATTGAAGTGTTTCTATTGTACCCCATTATTGCTGACTAGTCCAGCATTTTTCTGCTGCTGAACTGGACTCATCCTTCTAACTGGTTTTCCCGGTGATGTCACAAATCCTGGACTGTGACAAGTTTCAAAGGGATGGCATCGGCAGGGATTTGATACGGCTGCTGCACATCAGATATTCTATTCTCACGTCACCTGAACTGGCCTATTGACAACATATAAAGCCATTGCCAGGAGAGTTGAGTCTGAGTTGTAGAAATTAAGACTAGCCAAATAGGGGCCAGATTAACAACCACCATCATTTAGGGGAAAAGGCCAAGATTTTCAAACACAACAAGTGATTCTGGGTGCCTCAGTTTTTGGCAACTGAACTTAAGACACCCAAAAGGGGCCTGATTTTCAGAAAGCACAGAAACCCTCTGAAAGAAAGGGCCCTTTAAAACATCACAAGCTTGGCACCCAAACTCACTTTTGAGAGTCTTGGTCATAGCTTCTGATCTCTAGAGAATGTCAAAGACTTCTCCCACTGCTGGTACACTCTCTCTTGGCTGGGTACAGCAGAGCAGGCTCATTCTCCATGTAGCACCCAACAGCCACACCAGCCCTGCCATGGTCCCTCTTCCAATAACTCATCCACGTCAGCATTTAGTTGCACCCCTTTCAGAATAACAAGAAGTCCAACAGATAAGCATCCAGTCTCTCCATCCAGCCCACAGCCCTTGATCTAGGCCCAGTGGGTCATATGCCCCTTCCTCAGGGCTTCCTGTCATCCTTTCCCTTCTCAAGGGCTTATGCCACCTCACCCATGGCAGACAGAAGAGCGCAGGTTCACCCTCAACACTGGAATCCAGTCAGGGACCTTAAGACAGACAGTCAAGGTTCAATCCCTCCAGCACCTTGCTGCTACCTTCCTAGACTTCTTCCAATCAAGCCTGCGAACAGGGCTCTCCCACAGCTTCTTCAA